CCTCTTACAGAAAAAACCACTACATCACCTCTTTTCCGTGGCATTGCTCTGAAATACTCCAAATATTTCAACTTTGCTGTTCTGCAAAAGCCTAATCAAGAGATAAGGCAGAATTTCCAAATCAGAAAAATACCAGCCATCTTGGTCATGGTTGCTACAGAGAGTGCTGACAAAGAACTCATCAGATTTAGCTCAGTATTTTATGACACGAACGAGTATGGCGAAATCTCGTACCTGAACTTGACGAGATTTTTCTTCTCTGTCCACGAAAAACATTACCTGGATCATCCAACCGCCAGAAAATTCAAGGGTAAAGTTGGCTTGAGGGAATTTTTCGTTGAAGACGTTAAAGAGATTCTGGCGAGGGAGCCTGAGAATACTTATCACGAGGATGGAGAGAGTACTCTAGAGAAAGAAATTACATTTGAGAATCATAAGAGAATGTGTGCAGATACCTCCCTTGGTTTGTGTTTGATCTACTTCGTGGATGGCAARGAAAAGACATCAGTTAAGAAAGCTTTAAAATTGTTTAAAGATCTACAGAAAATGCCAGATATGAAAGGTAAAGCTATTACGAAAACATTTCAATTCTATTATTTGATTTTTAGATGTGATTTACCGAGTCTGGTGGAGACACTGGCCAAAGTACTGTAAGCGCATTCTACTAAAATGACATGAAGCATAAAGGTTATAGGGAGTACTTAGTTTACGTACCCCAGGGATATCTGAACTCCATATTTCCAGGCTCCATTGGGCCCTGAGAATGGGTCAAGTCTTTTTGAGCCGTAGTATGTTGTTAGCGCCAGGATCTGACAAAAATGCTGGAGATAATTTGCGATAGGCCTGGGCCGGGTTTTTCAAAGCCCGATTAAGCTAACCCAGGATTAGCACCGGAGAATTTTAAGCAGTGGAAAACATTTTAATACATGTACCAGAAAATTAATACTTCGTTCATTAATCCAGGATAGCGTTAACCGGCTTTCGAACAACCTGCTATAGTCGGTCAGTTGACAAAAATTAGCGAAAGTAATAATAAACGACGTTTCGACATCTTCAGGATGTTATT